TGTGTGTGTGTGTGTGTGTGTGTGTGTGTGTGTGTGTGTGCATGCTGCTTTGAAGATCCCTGTTTTAAAACCCACTTTTTGTCACTGACATTAGCAATTTAAGATGTGAGGGTCTTGGTAAGTGCAGCTCTTACGTTCCATCATGGGGCTTAGTGTGAGTGACCAATGGGTCCTTATTAACCCTATGATAACAAATGTTCCATATTTGATCCACACGTTTTCTGAAATATTTTGTACATTTTGCTCAAAACCCGTTGTACACAATCATATGTACCTGATAACAGTGAGCAGAATACTACTCGACAATAATTTTTTACTTATCTCACGCCCATAAATGATAGATGTTTCAGAATTCCATCAATCCATCCATTATCGTAACCGTTTATTCCCTAATTGGGGTCGCGGGGGACTGGAGCCTATCCCAGTGGTCAATGGGTGAGAGGCAGGGTCACACCCTGGACTGACCGCCAGTCACTCACACTCACTCCTAAGGGCAGTTTGGAATGTCCAATTACCCTAACATTCAGGTTTTTGGACCCTCATACATTGTTCTAGTAACAGCAGCATCAGTGCCAGAGCTGGGTCACATGATCACCATTATGGGAATGATTCATGTTAAAAGAGGTGCATACCTCAAACTAAAATACTGTATTGTGTTTTTTCTTATGAAAACAAGTTTTCAATCAAGTAAAAAAAGGTTGCGTCAAGGTAATTGTTACATTTGTTTTTTATATATTCAAGCTATATTCTAAGAATATATTTTCAATATTTAACAACTAATTTAATCAAAATTCCAGTTTCAAATCTTACATCAGAACTTTTATGACTTAATGAAGGTTGTTTTGGATCAAGCTATAAAGGGTTAAGAAATGTCTGAAATTATCACATTAAATTGCAATATACTGCCCATGGGCCTTGAATCTGACATATGTGCTTTAAGGTTTCATTTAGACAAATTAGTAAGAGATTAATTGCTTAATTAAGACTTGCTAAAATAAAACTGACTTGATAGATAAGGCACCTACTTCCATGGCATGACTCTGAAGACCAAAACCTCTATGATTCACAAGAAAGAGCATTACTGCTCATCTGATTTTTTATTTATTTTTTAATGACCTGTTTTAAAATGCCTGTTAGCACTGCGTTTTATATCCGGGTTGATTGTGTTTTGTTGAATGTGACAGGCTGCTCTGGTTTCCTCTGCTGTGTGGCACTAATCACCCCTCATACATTGTTCTAGTAACAGCAGCATCAGTACCAGAGCTGGGTCACATGACCACCATTATGGGAATGATCAATGTCAAAAGAAGTGCATAGCTCAAACTAAAATACTCTAAAATATCGGATTATGTTTTTCTTACGAAACAAAGTTTTCAATCAAGTAAATAAAGGTTGCGTCAAGGTAATGGTTACTTTTTTTGCTATAATCAAGCTATATTTTAAGAATATATGTTCAATATTCAACATAAATACAACTAATTACATCAAAATTACAGTTTCAAATCCTACATCAGAACTTTTATGACTTAATGAAACAACATGCTTGAAAAACAGGAGTTTCCCCTTTTAATGTCACAGTTTGGTTTCATATTGGAACATAGCATGACTTTCTATGTGTAAATGAAGGATTTCAATCTTATTTTTATGCTATAATTGCACTTACTGTGGTATATTAGTCACTAAAATGTTCTGTCTGTCTACATTTGTGAATCAAATGTATTTTATTTTCTTTCTCACCCCTCGGTAATAATTGCTTCCTGCATGAGGTCTGAGTCATCCTTATTAAAGTTGTTCGAGGAAGCAACTTAACTGGATATGAATAGCCTCTCTTTTACCATGTAGGAAGAGCGTAAACAGTCAAAAAGGACATTTTTACAGAATATGTAAAACAAAAACATGCCATTGGTCAATAAACTGGCACTTTAATCCACCAGAATTCACTCTAAACAATACAATTTTAAGTTTTCTGTATATATTACAGATTCTGATCATTGTTGGGGAATTCTGTTGTTTTAAAACAAGCAATCTGGCATATCAGACTCATTTGCTGACGCCTGTGCCATTGAAGTGCATCTGTTCGTGCGGTTTGTCTGGCGCTCATGCTGTGGGTGAAACACTGAGTCAAGTCCAACTGTGTCAGCGGCTTCTATGTAATGTCCTTTTTATGAGAAGTTTGTGAACTGTGGAATTTTTTAGCAGGGGTGAGATTTACAGCAAAATATCAGTGTAGTCTCTGCTGACGGCAAATAGAGGAAGTGGAGTATTTTCCGCACCTGTAGCATCATGGGAAATTTTAAATGAGATGTCACTTTGACTATTTGACAGAACTCAGTTTCTTCCAGGCAAACAATAGGGCTGATGCGAATCGGAGGTTCAAATGAGGATGTTCATACTGTGCCACTCTGTGGGTTGAGTAACAAAGTTTCCATCCTAAACATGGTACACAGGGTAACTGAAAACATATATTTTCAACTTGGTGAAACATCTGGTTAAATAAGACTCAGTGAAAGAGGCAATATGGCTCCAATGGCTGGTGGTTGAGATGACAGGAAAATTCAACTCAATTTTAATTTATATAGCACCAAATCACAATAACAGTTAGCTTTCCAAAAAGAGCAGGTCAGACCGTACTCTGGAGTTATTTACCGAAGCCCAACAATTCCCACAAAAAGCAAGCACTAGCCAACACAGGCTAGGAAAAATGTGAAACAAGCTGCCCAGGCCTATGGAAGCATAACAGGAATATTTCAGGGGGACTAAATCCATCTCTAACTATAATCTTTTATCAAGATGGAAACTTTTACATTTGATTTTTAAGATAGCGTCTGCTTACAGATGCTTTTTAACAGCTGGGTCTAGAAGAAAGAGGTCCGATAACTAAAGTCTCTGCCTCCTGCTCCATCTTTAGCCCCATGCTGCCAAATGTATCATATTTGATACGTACGGTTTCTGAAGTCTTTGGGATCTGAGACTTTTTGCATCGTTCAATGGTAAAAGCTTTGCTCAAACCCCTGTTCTACACATTCAGATACACAAAAATATATTTTTGACTTATTGCACGCTAATTTGATCAAAATAATTTCTGTTTTTTTTTTCTTCATATGTTGTTGAGGGGCCAAAGAAAGACTTCAGACTAAAAAAATCCAATATTCCTCCTATTTTTCTTGGATCAGGCTTTAAAGGGTTAGAAGTCTATTAACCTAATCAGAAGCAATGAGATCTGTAACTGATCATGCAGCTTGGCCATTCAGAGTTTTATGTATGTGAGGGGCAAAAATGTGAAGTTTTCTTTCGAATATAACAGAGATCCAATAAAATGAAGCTAAAGCTGGGAAAAATATGGTCTTTCGTTTGAAATCTGGTTGCAATAATTTGATCAGCTACAGGCTTTTCAGAGATTTTTTTGGGACAGTCCAATAACGAGAGATGTTTAAGTAGAAACTGCATGCGCTAGTTTTTTCAGCATCTCTACATAATGATCTGTCCTTTTAGTGGTGAATATGTGGATATATTAAATAAGTAATAGAATGATTTCATCATTCTTTCATGCATAAACTTAGATAGACAAGTATATATCCAGAAACAGATACATTTTACTCACATAGTACACACACTCTACAGCAGTTACTATTTGTGAGCTTGAAAAATTGGATAGTTTTGACTTTAAACACAACTATAGCTAATTTCAAATCAGCAGGCAATTTATTCAAGACAACTCAATAAGTAAAAGCACATCAGAGCGTATAATGTGAGCCTTTAATGTGGTTGGCGTTAGGGTCAGGGCTTACCCTAACATTAAAGACATTTCTGCACATTTCCATCGACATAATCTGATAGCAACATTGCTTTGATGGTTTATTTATTAGACACAACAAATCAAAATCAAAAACATTTCAATCAAAACCCAATTTCTAGATACACCAATGTTTCTGTGCACTTAGTCTCAGTTTTATGCCATCGCAAAGAAACTCCGCATTAAGGATGAGACTGCTTCCAAGTGGCAACGAGATATCAAAGCAGACATGTATTTGGAGAGCATATGGATGTCCACGTTCACGTTACTTTTATCCGTTTGACAGCCTGTCTTTCGGTTATCGGTTTCTCACTGCTCAGACCTTTGCTTTTATTGTCATCTTGGCAGTTTTTTCTGACAGCTCTCTCTCTCCCTTGTGCTGCCTGTCTCTGTGTTTAGACATATGCTACAAATGTGCCAGGTGTGAATGTCATTTAGGGGGTCTGTTCCCATCAGCTTGAGAGCTTTTGATTGACAGCTCAAGTGTTTCTCGGTGGCAGTGGATTTTCTTAGTTTGTTTTAGTGGATATATTGGCCATGAAAAGTACTGATGGTGCGATGGGTTGATGTCATCATCTGTTCAAAATTTATGTTTGATTTACAAAATGTACACAAAAAACACAAGATTTTTATCATATCTTTTGTCATTTGGACAGTCTTTAAAATGGAAAGTTATCT